TGCATCATTCCGCTGTTGTTAAACACTGCAAGAAACAGCAAGGGAAAATAGTTGGCGGATTCGGTTCTAAACGTAAGAAAAGAAGACAATGTTTTTAGAGAATTTAAAGGACTTTCTATCTACTTACTCTGGTCACCCAACATTTGTGAAGCATGGCTTCTTTGAGGATTGGTACCTGAAACTCCAAATTGCTGGGAACAATAAAAATCCAGATTAGGACAAATATTCATCGTTCCGAAATATATGGATTTTTGACTTTATTTTCTCAAAGAGGAGTTTTGAGCTAACCTGCATTCTAGGAACAAGTGTCTGAGATTGCATAGATGACATGTTTGGTATCTAGAAATTAAGTTGTATAAGTTTAACACCAAATCAAATAAGCAAATAAGATCATTAATCAAAGGAGATTTCAAGAGAGGTGACTGACCATCTGGCTACTTGGGGAGCCTTGTGCAGTAGTAAACAATGAACTATTGGCTCCACTTGAAAACTGGTTCAACTGACGGTTCATCGTTGGATTGAGCTGTCCTTGAGACATGCTGTGCTGCATATGTCCACCTGAGAGCTGTCTAGCTTGGAATTGTTGGTGGGCGGCCATTGGCTGAGAATATGACATTTGGTGTTGCCCATGTAACTAGAAAATAAAATACAACTACGCTTAAAAAGATTATAAAGAAAACTACCTAGACAAAAGCTTGTTTCATTTGATTTTACTGCTGGAAACTCTGAAGTGTCACACAACCACTTAATATAAGCTTCTACCAAAATCGTGGGAAATTTCTCTGCAGAATCATTTACTTGCTAAACTTGCATACATACGACTACTCATCTTCAACTATGGCCAGAACTACTGCATAATGATTCAAATAATCGACAAAGGATGTGTACGATCCTTTTTGCTTCACAGAATGTATCCCTAATGGCCTATATATGTTAAGTTCGAAGAGATGGCAACGCTTGAAAAAAAGTGAAGCTAAAAACAGGAATTTACCGTCTGAAACTTCTGCTGAGATTGCCCATGCAAATCGTGAAGTGATGGTATCTGACTCTATACAAAGTTGATGCAAATATAAGTAAGAGCAAGGCAAGTGAACAAGTATCAATAGCAACCAATGTATAGCGGCAAATGTTAAAGCCTACCTGACCCAATCCTTGCATAGAAGATTGCCTGAGCTGTTGTTGTTGTGCAAGTAGTTGCTGTTGATGCTGAGGCAACTGCATTAATTTTGACCTTTGCTGCTGTTGAAGTTGTTGTTGCTGAGGCGAAGGCGCATTAACCATACCCGTAGATCGAGGAGAATTGGCATATGGTAAGGGAGATGTTGTGTTATCAAAGTTAGGACCAGATGGAGATGCAGCTGATCTTCCCATAAATTGTGTTCCAGAAACCTATAAACACTCAAAGACATGAACCTCCAGAGAGAATTGATTCTACCAGAAGTGGTAATCATCAAAACGAGAAAGGATAAACTAGTTGCATAATTTAACCTGCAACAGATTTCCTTGACTGTTGATGTTGTTTGATGCCACAGGTAATTGATTCTTGCCTAATGAATGAGAATTTTGGACACATCAATCGCGCCATTATGCCAATGGTAATAGAAATAAAATAAAGAACAAGCATTGAGTCTAAAAGCTCGAGGGGTTTACTTCTACCCGACTGATCAATGAAAATAAAGAACAAGCAATGAGTCTAATAGCTCGAGGGGTTTACTTCTACCAGACTGATCAATGAAAATAAAGAACAAGCATTGAGTCTAATAGCTCGAGGGGTTTACTTCTACCAGACTGATCAATGATCAATAGCGCCACAATGCCAATGCTAATAGAAATAAAATAAAGAACAAGCATTGAGTCTAATAGCTCGAGGGGTTTACTTCTACCAGACTGATCAATGATCAATAGCGCAACAATGCCATTGGTAATAGAAATAAAAAATACAGAACAAGCATTGATTCTGATCGCTCGAGGGGTTTACTTCTACCAGACTGATCAACGAAAATTGCTACCTGCATCGATCAGCACATCTGCCAGATGTGGTGGAAGTGCTGTGGTTATTTGTCTCTGGTCTGGAGGCAATCTTATTCCTTGCAACCACAATTGTAAAAAAAAAAACATGAGATGGAATTTAGCACAAACCCAAAAATTGCAGTTTCGTACCAAACCAAATAATTGGATAAACCGTTGAAGAAAGTCTCTTACCTGTGCCGTCATTAACAGCTGCTCGTAGCATGTTCTCCTGTTCCTGAATCTTTGCAGCTTGACCTTTATCCATAGTTGGAAGCATAGAAGGACCTTGACGAGTGCCAAATCCATACGCTTTACGAGTTTCAGCTAATGCTTTCTCTGCACTATCACAAGCTGCTGAAATCATGTCGATCCTCGCCTG